GCACTAGAGCTGCACAATGGGCTATTGGCGACGGTCTGGGAAACATCCCTGAGGATGATCCGAAGACATGCCATCACAATTTTGATCCTCTGCGGAGGGGATGGCACCCCCGCTTCGGCAGCCCGACGACCTACACGCGAAGTCGAGCACTTTACGGTAGAACAGTTTAACGAGGACCAATACCGCACACCCTCGGTCCCTACGCAGGCTGATCCAAGTGGTCACCCACCCGCACACTGACCGCTGCCAGTGATGCTTGACTTCGGTGATCTGCTGGGAACCGTGTCTTAACGATCAGTCCACTGCGGGACATGTGGAGGAAGCAAAAACGCGTAACAACTTTTGATTTTCTGAGCAGATTCAGTCCCTGGTCAAATTATTAGACAAACTATAAGATTCTATGCAAAATCTTAATTATCAGGTGATACTATACAGCTTTATTGTTTTTTCGCGACAGCAACCGGTTTGCACTTGTTTACGTTCGTATATAAATAGGTAAAATTAGAGGATTGGATTAGACGGTAAATTAAATAAATATAGAAGATTAATTATATCAGGTATTATATTAGTATATTATAATAATTAGACCAATTTATTAGACTCACTGTAGTTTTTTAATAATTACATGTTTTGACCGAGTTTATATTCAGTACTTTTATATTTAAACATATGTAATGGGTTTTTATTCAGGACATTTTTATATACATCCCATTTGTATTTATTTTTAACGTATTACATTGCAATGTTAATCTATTGATACACCAATGTAAACAAGTACAAACCGGTTTCAGCAGCGTAAAAACAATAAAGCTGTATAGTATCACTGATAATTAAGATTTTACATAGAATCTTATAGTGAGTCTAATAATGTGGCTAGGAACTGTAGTAACATTCTAAAAGGCAATTTTAATTGCTTAATGTGCTGACTTAATTTACTAATTAATTTGCGATAATTATTTAGTAAGGGCAAAATCATGTCCAAAAGCGTACTTTCTTTGAATAAACATAAGTAAATATTTGGAATCGTAACTGTCAAAGTGTGAGTGTTGATGCAATCTGGAAAATAACTTCGTAATAGTAAAGTTCATGTAATTTTCTGTAATTTTTCATTTAATAATGATTCTATTTTTTTTAAGTTTAAGGCCTCATTTGAAATTATTTGAATTTAAAAGACGACAATAAATGAGTTTATAGCTCAGAAACTTACTAACTAATTAAACTTTTTTAATAAATGTAGTTTGAAGTTTTTATTTCTAAAGAACTATTTACCTGATTTTGTCCGAATTGTTCATTTTCTCATTTAAAATTATGTAAAAGTTTAAAGTTCTTGCATTTCAAAAATTACTGAACAGAATTACAGAAAATGAATCATAATTCCTCGCAAAAGCTGATTTTAATTATCTTTGATCCAACTAGTCTATCTTTGGAGTTATCTTCGATTTTTATAATTGCTTAGAAGGAATTACTGAGACAAAATGTGAACCATGCAGTTTCGAATTTCAGTAATGTTTTCTTAACCTCGTGACAACAAATTCATTAAATATTTGAAAGTATAAAATGCAGATTTATATATTTTGGTTAAATTTATATTATTTCTGACAAACTCAAATATTGTTTTCTTTATAAAACCTTAAAACTTCTAAAATTTTCAAATAAATAAAAGCTTACGAAGCTTTATAAGATTCAAAATTACAACATTAAATCATATTGATCATAAATTTTTCAATAAATAATAATAGTTATTCCATAATAGAATATAATTCTCGTGGTTTTTAATAATTTTTGTTAGCACATAAATTAGTTCGAATTTTAATACATAAACGACAGAATGCATTCAATTTGAGCTATGCTATAGCTAATAGTGTATTTAGCAATAATAAGCATGTTGCGAAAACTTTTACATCAATTCACTGTATTAAATTGTCAGTTTTTTTAGTAATAATTATATCCCGAAGTGATTAAATAACTATATACTTGTGATGAATGATTTAAGGAGATTTCTAACACAATTTATTTACACATCTTTATAGAAAAATAAAATTTTCAAACAAAGGCAACTCTTTATACATTCTCCTTGTAGATGTTCATTCAGCATCATTCATTATATCTAAAATAAATCAAATTTACAATTAACTTCAGATTTTCACTAAAAAATATAAACTATTTCTTTTAAATAATTTTTATTTAAGTTTATAATGCTATTTTGCAGTATTTTGTTATTTCATAAATATCAAACAAAGTTATATTTTTCAGGACGCCTTCATATTGAAAAAAAAAATTACATCCATGTTAAGCTGCAGAGAAATAATGAGCCCAGAATACCCTTATTTATTCAAAAACTAATTTAAAAAATTTAATAATTTTTGTTTTATATTACTCATTTTAATATATATTTGTTACATTTGTTACAAACTTTTAAGTAATAAAACTCTTCATATGTTAAAACTTTTTTTTTAAATTTTAAAAAATCTTGTTCGGAAAATATTAATAAACTTAAAATTTAGAATTCACTAACTTAGCTCAATGTTACATTTTTCAAAGAATAAAATGAAACCAAATTTATTTAAAAATTAGTTACTGAATAAAAAACTACTGAACTACTGAATGAAAACTACTGAAAATTAGTTACTGAATAAATATGGAAATTCCGGACAAATAATTTTCTCTTTGTTTATAGGGAGAAAGTAAAACAATTTTTCTTTCTGAATAGAATTTCTTAAATGAGGAAACATTTTATTATTTTAACGTATATACAATTTTAAAGAAAATTTTGTTAGACAAAACTGTTGGAATTTTTTAAACAAAAACCAAAACTCTCATGCCTGTTTTCCTTTTCTGACTGCATTTTTTTAATTGAATTTCTAATTAATTCAATTAAATTGATTTAT